GTATCAGGAACAGATGTTGATGGTGATAATGGAAACGGGAACAGTGGACTTAGCGAAGTGGAGGATGTCTTCGCTATGGAGAAAGCTTGCCCAGGATCATACACTGCGGCTCGAGGCCTGGCAACGATAAAATCGAGATGCACGCCGCGATGAATTTGCCTCATCGCAGTTGGCGGCCCCATATGGGCAGAATCGCAGCTGGGAGAAGAAACCGCGCGACAAAGCGGCGGAAGCCGAACGCGGAAGCCGAACGCGGACTGCATGTGGTTGAAGGGGAAGAAAGGAACGGGGGAAGGCGATCGAAGACTCGCTATCCCAGCCACGCACTTGCGAGATACAAATTCACTTGGAGCGACGTGGCGTTAAATAAAGGGCCATACCTATGATCGGTTACAGTGATGACGGATATAGCTTCTGTCTCGGGCCACAATCGGTCTTTTCTCAAGAGTGATGGTGGACCGGCAGTTACAGCTGCGAGAGAGGCTGTCAAAGGCGTGCGCGTCGCAAGTATGGAAGTTGAAGTCAGCCCAGTTGGACAGCCTCGAGCCACTTGTAAAATTGGAAGACCAACTCGCGCAGTGCAGGGCCAGGTTAGGACAATGTAAAGCGCATTGGGCGATCATTATCAAACGGAGTTTGGAGAAAACTATGCCCTAATTTCGGGTTAGCATCATACTCGTCCTTAAGTATGGGGAAAATGCGTGGTGAGAGAGGGCGGCAGAAGGCTGGCGAGGGATGCCGGGACAGCTAATTGAACGAATTGCCAGCGTATTTCGGAGAGCGCGTTCTGGGCACAATGGAGGCCGAGGAGATAGAGAGAGCCCATGGGGGAAGGGGGGCATTCTTGGGGGGTGAACGAAATGGGCCATGATATTATGATAGGCATGCCGCACGGAGACACTACGTCGCAGGAATTTGTGAGGAAGTAATTAGAGGATGAGGGGTGGGACATTTTGATGTGACCGCCATTAAAGGACTATTTTGGCAAAGGGATCCGAGCACTTCAGCGCGGCTCGAATCAAGCTAGTCCCAGCGGGGGCCAGGCCAAGTTCGGATACTTGCGCGCGAGGTAGGTAATGACTGATGGAACGGGCGAGATCGATGGCATCTGCGATGACTGGCGAATTACAAGAGAATTGGGCTTAGTAGAGGAGTTGACTGGGTGGGCCGAGTTCGGACTAGACGAAGGCGATGAAGGAGATGCCGATATGGCCCAAGCGAAAGGCTGCATGTTTACGTGGTTGACGCGGAAGGACTATTCGCCCAAGACGCGCGCGTACACCCGGCGCTCGTAGCGCGCGGAAGTTCTCAAGCGCAGGATAGATCTAACGTCCAATGCGCGGCGGAGGAGCTGGCCAGGCACGCGAGCAAGCCGACTTTTTGAGCTTGGGAGAGTCGTGAGACGCAAGAGAAATACCCAAATAGCCAAAGTAGATACAGTGGTCTATGTAGAGAGAGCGCCTCATAAAGTCGCGGAGCAACGCCCAGGACATCATTGCGCTGTCATGTGGAGAAGTGGATATCTCGGCATGGTCACAGTCGGTTCGACAGGGTTCGGCTAGCAAGCAGTAGTGGGAGGCTCTTGACACCCCGACACAGATAGCTACCAAGGGCGATCTTATAGTTGCAGCCGCCGTCGCTAATCGAAGAGGGTTAGGACAAGTCAGACACAGAAGTCTGCCAGCCGTGGCTGAAGGATGAAGTTAGGAGCGGCGATATCCGAGTTGCCAAAGCAGGCGCCGGCGATAGTCTTGCCGACGCAATAGCCGAGCGCGTCAGCTGCGGACCGCTCGCCAAGCGCATGCTGGCCGCCAGCCAAACCGCATTGCAGGGGGTGGGCATGGATTAGCAGCAGCAATTGAAGGATCGCCTGCCCCGCAGTTGTTGGCGGCTCAAGTTGCCGCGAGCAGTCGCAGCTTCTCTTTTCCCATCCGTGCCCCTGGCGGCTGTTGCTCTGCGCGGCGAGCGGCAGCGGCGGTCCGGCAGTTTCTGGCGCCCCAGGTGTTCGCGATGAGTCGCCGGAGCCCGACGGCCCAGAGGTTGTTTTGAAGGGCGACGGCCAGGCGGTGTTCGTGAGATGCGATCGGGCGAGGAGGCCGCGTTGAACCCGGCGCGGAGGAGGCTCGACGGTCAGAAGAGCATCGCGAGGGCCGTGGTCGACATGCGCAACGGCACCGTGCTACCGCTGCGAGTTACTTGTAGAAGGTTGAGAAGCAGCAAGATGCAATAGAGACGCGGGTGGAGACGCTGGAGGCGAGGGCCGATGCGGCAAACCGGTCCAGAGCGGAAGGTGACGAGAGGCGCATGGATCAGCGCCGCAAAGTGGTTGGCAATGCGGCTGCGGCGGTCGAATTGGCCCGGCAAGTCGGCGAGGGCGTCTCCACGTTGTTTGAGCCAGCGCGCCTCATCACTTATACAGCCATCGTTCTTAAAGCCGCCTACGTAATTGGGGGCCGCGCATATTCGGTTGCACGCGGCCCGTTAGCAGACGTCGACACACTGGCCCCCCCCCAAGGGTCAGGGCGCCGTCGCCTCCGACGCCGAGGGCGCCGCCTCGCGCCGAGCCTCCGCAGGCCGAGTGGGCGGGCCCCCGAGGGGGCCGCGGCGGCGGGGCTGGCGATGGCGGCGCGGTTAGCCGAAGCTGGGATTCCGCCCAAGGCCGCGCCTGAGGGCGTTGGAGGGCGGCCGACGTTGAAGCGACCCCCACGGCCGTCGACCCCAGCGTGCCATTCAAGCAGGCGCCGCCAGCCGCTGAACCGGCCGGGCCTGAGGGGGGCGAGATCATGCGCGAGCGTTCCGTTTGCAAAATCCACGGCCGGAGTCCACCTCGCCCCCGCAGCAGGGCGCCAGGCGGAAGCGGGGCAGCCAGCGGCGTCGAAGGTTAAACTGGAGCGCAGGCGGCGGAGACATCACCGAGGCGGCGGAGTCGCCGCCGAAAGCCCCGCCAGGAAGGTTCGAGGCCCCGCCTATGGAGGATCGGGCTGAACCACCAGCGCGGCCGCCGACTTCAGAGATGATTGGGCTGGCGCGCGCGCGACGCGTCGTTCGCCGACGCGCGCGCCCGCAGCTGCCCGCCATGCACGTTAAAGACGTAGATGATGAGGAGTTTGATCTCATGGTGGGCATTGGCCCAGCAGATCGCGACTGGCCCGCGCAAGCCGCTCGCAATTTCTGGATGAGTTGCAGCGGCCATTGGTCCACGGCGCGGACGAGCGGGACTTTTTCAACCCGGCGAGACATGCGATCAGGGGCGAGGATGGCCTGGAATGCTTTTGTAGCTATCAGTTCCGCCAAGGCGATGCCTGCAAAGCGTTGCCTTTGCCCCGCCTCGAGGGGCCGCCCGCCTGCAGGTCGGAGCTGAAGAGATTCAGCTGGGAGGCGCATCATCAGTGGCCCCAACGAGCAACGAGCGTGCCACTTACAGGTTAAGTTGCCCCGGAATTGTCGGCCTCCGCTTGATCCGAGTCACCCTGACAGAGCATCCACTTAGTTTAGGCATTACCTCCCGGACCCGCATCAGGATGCGCACGAGACAGGCACTCGTTCAAGCAAGCCCAAACATGCAAGATAACGCATCACAGAGCATGTTCTGCACAAATTTTGGCATGACATGGGCTGGCAACCCATGGTTTTCGGCCACCAACGTCGTTATGAAGAATCGAATTCCAGCGGGGGAGAAACCAGCACTGAAACAGTTGCCATGCGGTTATCCACGGAGGAGTTAGCCATGTGTTTCCCATTCTGTTTGCGGATGGGCTGGTTGAGTATTACGAAACATATAAAGTGCCCACGTAGTAAAACAGAGACGAGTTGAGGATGCCGCAGCCGGTTCCTGAGGCCTGCTGGTTCCAGATCCAGGTAAGGGTGGCAATCTCCGCACAGCGCCAGGTTACCGATTCCTGTTGTGATGCGCTTCCGTTCAACGATGTTCGCCACCGGCCCAAGCACCGCATGGAGGCGGTGTGGTGGCAGGCGTGGATACCAGCTGTCGATTTCGGGCTTTGAGTGATAGGGGACTGGTGGTTCGCGAGTTAAGCCGCCTTCGCCAGCACCACCCTACCATGCCATGTCACTTGCGCAATATGAACCAGAGCTTCTGGGAAACCACGTGTCGATTCTACAAAATCGCGGAGGCAACGTTAAATGCAAGAGGAAGGATGACTACGGATCTTGGAGCTACCGAGCAAAACAGGCATCATTTGTTGTCAGCCGTTTGTGACCCCAACGGCGATGTCAACCGTTGCCCAGTTTTTAGCTCCAGATTCACACACTGGAGCATGCGAGGCAGCGGGGAGGCTGGTCCGTTAGCCGTCAGCACCGCCGCAAGGTGTTTTGTTGAGCCTTCTCCCGCTCTCTTTCTCCACGCTGCTATTTGTGTTTGAAGATGTTTGTTTGCCCATTAGTTTCATCTTGTGGCGCATAATCAAGTACATCGCGCGACCGGACGCCTCTGCCCGTCTATGCCAGACATGTTACTCTATAGTGCAGTTTTTTTTTCGAGTTTCGTTGGAGACCTGGCGCACCCTGATCCAAATCTGTTAGCCCTCATTCAGCTCATTGCGTTTAAATGTTCTCACCGTCGTTTTCTCGGCTGTGCCAGCCGGGGCGGATATATATATATATATATATATATATAATCTAGCTTAGCGATTGGGTGAGGAGTTTATCATACGGTTACGGTCAGACGGCTGTTGATACCAACGCCGTTTGGCTCAAATGCCATCAGCAGATCGTGTCGCACGTCCGTTAGTACAAATCCATAGTACCGTTGAGCCGTTGTGGTGCAATTTCTCCCTGGGAGTCTGCAGGCGCGTAGGAGGAAGGACGACGAGGGAGGTGGACGGAGGAGGAGGAACGAAGTTGGATGAGTAGGCGGAGGGATGGGTAGGGCGAACGCGGGGCGATCGTCCTTTCTGTCCCCCTGCCGTCCCCTTGCCACCGCGGGCCGTGCAACCTTCGCCCCGCCTCTCCGAGCGCCGCGGCCGGGGGCCCCGAGTAAGGCGGCCAGCCTGTACGAACCACACGGCGAGCGCGCCCAGCTGTGGCCAGTGACGTCGGAGGCGTGGTGGGGAATAGAGGATGGAGGAGGAGGGAGGGCGAAGAGCAGGAAGAGGAAGAGGAGGAAATGGAAAGCTCTGCTGCGCAGATATACAGCGGTAGCGATTTCTATTCAGCGTGTAGGCACAGGTCTCGGGGATCGTCATGAGCAGAAGGGTTTTGTGCTTAGCATTGCGCGCGAACAGACGTGCAAGCGGATGTCCGAACAAAGCGGAGGGATATGGAGCAGGCGGGATGGATGAGTTGCGAGGGGAATTTTTTAATTGCAGGCTGTCGCGCTGCAGATGCATGCGCCGGTGGGCACAGGGTGGGGCAGAAGCAGCAAAGCAGCCCGACACAGAGTGTAGTGAGTTCGACGTCGCCCTGTACGTAAAGCACTCTTGGGACGAGGAATGAGACAGGTGGGAGGAGGCAGGAGGGAGCGGGGGGGAATGGCAGGAAAGACGATGGGAGGAAGGGAGGGGCTTCAGGGGATGGAGAAAGGATGGAAGGGCTAAGCGGGAGGGGCATGGGAAGGCATCGGCGAACAGTGGGGAAGAGCAGGACGACGACGACGACGGCGACGACGGCGACGGCGATGGCGACGGCGACGGCGATGGCGACGGCGACGGCGACCGCAACGACGACGAGGGGGAGGGAAACAGACGGAAGGGATGGGAGTATAGGAAGGGAAATGGGCAGGCAGGAGAGGGTAGGCGCACGACGTCTGCGAGCTGGAGCAGGAGCAGGAGGGGGGGCGCTTTGATCGCCAGCGTGGCGACCATAGGACCCTGTCCTCTACGGAGGATGTCCGACCCCCGGGCACGAGGCGTTTGGGCAGAAGCGGGGAGTCGAGGCCACGAAAGGAGATAATTACGATATGCTAGAGGCCCAGACATGTGGATCCCACGAAAAACATCACGCCGATATTGTACGCCAGTTGTGGCCTTCAAGGGCAGCTTTTCGGCCCTGGCGAAAAAGCCGACCCGCCCTGGCGGGGGGGTGGTGAGATTGGGGCCTACGTGTTGAAAAGTTGTGAAAGCCGCGGATTTGGAACATGGGCATGCGTTGCAGAGCCTTCCAGATTCTCCCGGGTTTCTGCAACCTCGTGAAGGTTCAGGCCCTTCTTGGAGTCGGTCGTGGCGGTCGTGGAGCTTCACACTGTCCAACGCCCCAGGTTCATGCCAGATTGTAGCCGCGATTGCAGCTAAAGGCCGAAGCCGAGGTCAGATCTAGGCTGAATTGGCGCTAAACTCAGCATGCCCACGGCTATGCCGAATGAGTCTCCAACACGGGGGGAATGATCTACGACGCAAGCCGACGGCCACATTGGGTTAATGTTGGGAATGGAGGTGGGGCGTCCCGCTTTGTCTCAACCATATTATCTGGGGCTGGGTGTCACCAGCACCTGAACCAATGATTTCGAAGATGCGGGACTTCGTGATGCTCCCCCTATCAAATCCCACCCCCCCTTCCCAGTGCCCTCCCCGAGCCTCTTAGCAGCTCTTGAGAACGAATAGCCCTCCGAGAACGTCCTCGCCTCCCCCCTCCTCCCTGCTCGCCCAGCCTACCGGTTCGTGTTTCGCTCATCCGCGCTTTCTGTTGGCACACTGTACGAGGCTAGGGCTTCGCCCTCGCGCGCCTTGCGCCCTGGCCACGTGCCCGGCACGGTACCTGCGCCGCTTTCTCGCTCGCCTCCTCGCCCAGCGTCGGCACGTGGTGCCAAGTCGTTGATTGCTGCCACGGTGGTTGCCTCCGCTCGTCCTTTCGCAGGCGGCGGCAGCGCAGCTGCCCGACGGGAGCGTGGACGCGGTCTTCATCGACGGCTGCCATTTCTACGACTGCGTGAAGCAGGAGAGGGGGGGAGGAGTGGGGAGGAGGAGGAGGAGGACGAGGAGGAGGAGGAGGAGGAGGAGGAGGAGGAGGAGGAGGAGGAGAGGGAGGAGGCGGGGGCTCTTCTTCTTCTTCTTCTTCTTCTTCTTCTTCGCTGCTGCCGCTGTTGCTGTCGTTCGGTCTTCTGCTCTGCTCCCTTGCCATTTTGGCTCAAGCCGCAACCGCTTCTCGAAACAGCTGGGCAGGAGCAGCGACCCGACCCGTCGCTGGGGCCCGCGCGTAGGGTTATCCGCGCGCGCGCTCGGCGCCTCATGCCGGGCGACCGCGGCGGTTGGCGCCCGCAAGAGCCATGCTGCGGTTGACGATGTGGGCACGCCGACAATTAGGCATGCGCCTCCGCTGCCGGCAATGCGACCGGCCAGAGCCGCAGCGGGTCGCGGACGCGGCCCGGGCGGCGGCGAAGCGGCAACCGCCGGCTCGCGCGAGCCGAAACCGGATATTCCGCGTCGCCTGCGGCGGCGTGGAGATTGCGAGGCGGCTGGGGTGATCTTGTACGCGGACATGGTGAAACGCATGCTGCCCTCGCCGAGCAGCCCCGCGGCGTTTGGCGACGCCCCCATGCAGCCGCTCCAAGCCGGTGGCGTGCAGCAGGGTTCGCTTGCACCCGAGCTGAGCCCTGCGCAACAGGAGCTCTGCTGTTGGCACGAGCGCAGGGCGTCAGCCCAACGGTACGGCGCGGAGGCGGACCTGGCGGAATGCGACCGCCAGTTCCAGGCCTTGGAGCATGCTGCTCAGGCCTCGCGTCCATGAGCTGTCCACGTCCAGGCGGCCACGGACTCGCAGAAGGCAGCTGCGGCCAAGGTGATGACGACCACCGAGGACCTGATGGAGGCGCGCAGGGCCGTGGCGCACTTCGAGGCCGAGGGAGCGAAGGCGCAGGAAACATTGCGCTAGGCCGACGCGGCGTTGATGGCGCTACAAACGGAGGGTCCTGCATTCGCGTGCGCCGCCAGCAGGAGGGCTCTCTCAGGTTGGGGTCGCCGCAGCCATCGACACGCTGGCGGCTGCCACCACGGTCTTGCAGCAGCGCGGAGGCTGCGCCGGAGGCGGCGGAGGCGAGGCCGCGGCGCTCGTCGAGCAGCTCCGCGCGTTGGTTCCTGCCGCCGTGCACGTGGCTGGTTCGGAGGACCCTACTGCCGGTGTGGCGGCGGCCGAGGCAGGTCCTGCCGCCTCTGCGCCTGCCGCTGCCCCCGCGGGTTCCTGCGGCGCCGCGCCGCCAGCAGGCGCCGCCGATGTTGCGATGCCTGGGGGCTTGGGCGCGGCGGCTGCTGGGGCTGCCGCGGCTCCCGGCGGCGCGTCGCCAGGCGCGGCGCCGCCCAGATCGCGGTGTGACGCGGCAGGCGCCCACCGTGCGGCGGAGGCCAGGCGGCAGGTCGCGCTCCGGGAGTGCATCGTCCGGCCGCGAGCCTCCTCCACGTCCCCGGGGGGCCTGCCCAGGCGAGGGCGCTCGCGGAGCCAGGAGCTCGGCGTGGCTGCTGGCGCCTGAGCGCAGCCAGCTCCATGGGGGAGGAGGGCAGGAGGTGGTGGAGGGGATGTGTGGCGGGGTGGAGCTCCTCGCCCCCATCCCCCTCGTCCCCTTCCTGCGCCTCCCCGTGGAGCAGCGCGACGGCCCGTTGGGGCGGATGTCCATGGTGGGGCATTCGCGCCGGTGGCGCATCGAACCCTGACCCTCCGCATGCGCAGCAGCGGGTTGTGGTACTGGTCTCAAGGGCGACGCGCTGGAGTGCGAGCTGGCGGGGCTTTTTCGCTGCTAGCGCCGACGCGTGATGCTTGCAAGAGGCTTGCATGCTAGCCGCGGGCTCTCCGTCGGCAGCGGCTGCAGCCTAGGCCCGCGGAATGCTGTTGCAATCAGGGCCCGCCTGCGACGGGGCCCACCTGCTGGCGACAGCCCGCCGTGCTGGCAGCGGAGTAGCGGCGCGTTCCGAGCCGCCACTGGGGCTTTCAGGCAGGGTCCCCGGCCGCTCGCAGCACTTCGCGCCGCGCATCGGGGCCTCCAGGGCCATGCGTTCCATGTACTTTTGGCCGTGCAGGAAGGCGCCCTGACGCTGGGCGGAACGCCGAACTCAGGGCGGTGGAGTGGTTCCGCGGTTGGGGGGGCGCCCCAGCCTTCGTCGTTGGCGATTTGAACAGCCAGCTGGCCTCTTCGGGGCGGGGCGGCAGGGCGGCTGGGCGGCGGGATCTGCTCGCTGCGGAGGGCCCCGCGCGGATCCCCTCGCAGGGGGGGCATTTCGCATCGACCCCGCGGCGCTGGACATCGCGGAGTCCGCGGGGCTCCGAGGGGGCTTCGGCCGGGCCGCGCACGCGGCGAGGTTGATGGCGCTCGAAGCGGGCGGCCCCGAGCCCGCGCTAATCCGCCAGGCCGCGCGGCCCTTGGGCGGGCGCCCAACCGAGAGCTGGGCCCCGCAGCGCGCTCGCGACATGGGCATGGCCATCCGGGCGCTGCACGGCGGGGCGCTGTAGCGGGACTTCGACGGGCGGGACCTCGACGGCGCGCGGGAGGTCCTCGGCCCGGCGATGCGGACCAGGCTTTCGGCCCGCCTCGGCAGCCCGACGGCGGCGGAGTGGCTGCGCGCGGCGGCTGCGTGGATGCCGGAACGCCCCAAGGCGCGCGGAGGTGGAGGCGGCGCCGCCGACGCGGCTGCCGGCGCAGTGCTGCTGCGACCCTGGCGGCCCCGCAGTTTCCTATGCGCGCGCGGCCGCGCGTCCTCTGAAGCAGCTGCGCGCGGCGGCCGCTTGCGCCGCCCTCCGCGCGTCGCGCGCCGCAGAGTCCGGCCCCTCTGCTTGGGCGGCCGCGCTTGCGGAGCTCACGCAAGGAGGCGCGGTTCTGGCACTCGTTCTCCATGGTGAAGCGGAGCGGCCGCAGGCTCAGAGCGCTGCTAGGCGCGGGGCGCCGTGGGCAGCGCCCGCGCCGGCGCCGTTGGGGCTGCTGCGGCGTCAGCGCCAGTCCTAGGCCGCAGGGCGCGGGCCTTTTTGCCCTGCAGTGGGGCCCCGCCGCGCGGCCGCGGCATTTCGAAGGCCCCCCCGCGCGCTCTCTGGCGGCGGCCAGCTGCGGCAGCAGCGCCAGCGGCCGCGGGCGGGCCGCGGCCCTTCCCGGACAGGACAGGGCCCCATGAGGCCGCCGACGCACTGTCAGAGGAAGTCGCCGGATCCGCACGATTGGCGGATCCGGTGCGCGACCAGGTCGACCTCCAGCAGACGCCCCCGGCCCCCCCGGCGCGCGCCCCTGCCTGGCCAGCCCGCCCCGCGCTGGCGGCGCGTGGAGCGCGACGGCGCAGCCGGGTCGGCAAGGCGAGTGGGGCGGCCTGGGGACCTTGCCATGCGCCTGCTGTCGGGCTGCCGCCTCGGTGCGCCCGCCCTCGCTGCGTTCGCGCGGCCATGGGGGCAGGCGACTGGCCGGGTTGATGTCCAGCTCTGCCGGCGCGTGTATGTTGACGATCGCACTCGAGGTTCAAGAGACGGGGGTCAATCCGAACGGGGGTCAGCCGGGGCACCGGATCCGGCAGGGTCCTGCGAAGACCCCCTCTGGCTGACCCGGGCTGTTAGCGAGCAGCTCGCGGCCGCGAGGCGGCCTCGCATATTGGTTGACCCGGGTTTGCGAAGACCTGCTTTGCAGTTTTTCCCTGCACTGCAGTTCTTGCAGCTGACCCGGGTCAGGATTGACCTGGGTCAGAAGGTCCCCGGTTCGCACAGCGGGCCAGGGCGCCTGCCAGGCTCGGAGGCAAGGCCGCCAAGAGCGTCCGTGACGCGCTGCGCCTCGCAGACGCGAATTCGAGGCGGCGATGGGGCGGCGGCGAAATCGGGACGAGCCGGCAGTTTGCAGGCAGCCGAGCGGCGCGGCAGTGGCTCGCAGAGCAGGCGCCCAGCCTGCGCGCCCAGCCCTGGGTCCGCGACGTCGGAGCGGCGGCGGTGACTGGAGGCAGCCGCCGCGTTGGGGTCACCGCTAGCCAGGCGCAGGGCGCGGGTCGCTAGCCAGGCGCAGGGCCCGGGTCGCTACCTCCTCCATTTCCTTCCTCTCTCATCCCCCTTCCCCCTTTGCCCCAGCGCATCTGCAACCCTTCCCAACCATCCAAAGCCGTGCGCCTCCCTCCCCTCTTCTCATCGTCTCTCCTCCCTCTTCCCTGCTCCCTCCCTCGCTCCTTCCGTTGTCAATGACGCAGCCTTGCTGCGCATTAAGCGTCAAACTACTACTGTTACTGTCGTTGCCAAGTTTATAGCACATTTGGCGTCTGAAGCCTTGAAGTTGTTCGAACAGTGTCCAAAATCCGTCCCTCCTCCGGGCACCTCCCGTGGGGATCGCGCACCAAGTGGTCTGGAACACGCGAGCTTCGAGGTGCTGCTGTGTAGCCTGCTGGGCGCCCAGTCGGGACAAGTTGGTCCTCTCCACTGCCGAGTGTCCAGCCCCAGAGGGATACGGCCACGTGATCAGAGCATGTGGCCCCTATATTATATGCGTGTTCTGCCGCTCCTGCTGTAAGTGAATTTTATCAGGTGTGCCGTGGAAAGTCAGGACCGATATCACTAAACGTAGACTAGCGAAATGAATGGATGGACGGGGTCCCCGTGCAGATGCACACTTGGGGAGAGTAACTATCCCCTGTCCCCAGGCCATTCATGACCTCAGCGAGTACGGGCCCCCCATAGATGTGGGCCCCCGGTGCTTGAGTGTGCCCATAAGAATTTACTATATGGCTCGGAAGCGGTCCTGTCTGTGTGGGTGTTTGTGGCTGCTGGCGTGCCACATCCCGGCGTTCACCGAATGCTTGCCCCTCCCTTGAGGCAAACAGTGTGCGAACGCCGATGCACCAGGCGACCACTTAGGTTGCCACGAGGGGCCGAAGGTCGCCGCAACAAATTGTGGCCCGAAGTGGCCGCAATAAAGTGCGGCGTTTTTTTCTGCCTCAGCCGCCGTTCCTGCGTCTGCCCTTGCAAGTGGGGCTTTCGATAGAACGACATGTTGGGCC